TTCTATAAGCGAATATCCACGAGAATCGTTTTATTAGGATAGTTTATACTCGAGCTTACCTTCTTTCGTTTTCTTCTAGAAATCCTTTGGGATTCAGGAGTTCATCGAATTTCCCGATGGTGCCATTACTATCTCTTGCAAGCGTATGAAAACGATTTTAAGAGACTCTTGAAGAGTTTTGGTTAAAGTTTTCGTTATTCTTTATAGAAGTGAATAAATATATTGAAGTGTTTTTGAAAAATAATCAATCTTAGCCTGTTTTTATCTAAAAAATAATATATTTTAGAATTAATTTAATATAATTAAGAATTTCATTAAAATGAATGTTTCTATCATTATGAATGGAATATCAAATATTAATAGAAATTTAATAGAAATTTATATATATATTTTATAAGGAATTTTAAAGTTCGCGGGCAAGTCACCGGATATCGAATAAACAGCTGTCGTGCTTAATGGCGGGACCAATTCAATTTTCACGGGACAAAGGGCCAATAAATGCAATTAGACGCTGTAGAAGTTTATGAAGTTCACTTAACTACTATGTAACTTCCTATTCGCCCAAAGTCTTCTAATATTCCATTAATTAAACTTTTATATTTCTTTATTCTCTAATTAATTGAATCCTGTAACAAATTGTATCAATAATGAATAATATAATATATATAATATATTTTCTAATTATATACGTATTTTTTCTTAATTTTCATTGTAGAAATATTATATCTCTAATGTAAAAATTGATCTTTTTTGAAAAATGAAATTTCACGATAGTAAATTTTATTTATATACTAAATATATTGATCTTGTGTTAGGAAATAGACATTTTCAAATCTTTCTCGAGGGATTGTATTTTATTTTTGCCTATATTTTTTTTGCCTATATTTGGAGACATATCATTATTTATATTTCTACATTGACTGATTTATGCATTTCTTCTCTTTTCTGTTTCTGTTGCTCTATTTTCTACATCAGTTTTCTTATGCGTATTTGTTTCATGATATTATTATAATTCTCTTAATGCTTGCTTTATACAACAAGAAGAAAACAAAATGTTTGGGAGTTTCATCATCTCGATAATGTACGAATTTCTTAATCTTTTATATAATAAATAATATGATCAATAGCATAAAAAATATTTTATAACCTTTATATATATAATATCTATGACATATTCATTTCCATTTCAGTGGCAACAAGGAATTAATGGACTTTATGAGGCTGGATATGCAATATCATTGATAGCATTATTACTTTCATTAGGTATTCTAACATATTTCCGGTGAGTTAATAATGAATACGAATTTATCTTCTCCTCACATTATTATATTTTATTTCCTTTCTTTTTTTTCTTCCAACTTTTTGTATTTTTTTTCTTTTTTTTTTTTTTTTT